ATTATGGGACAATGACTGTTAAAATAGCCCCCGACTTTTCCAGAATTTGGAAGGGGGGGGGAATGCTTTTTCGATGACGTGAATAAATATATTTTTAAAAGGGGGGCGCAAAATTGATAGTTCGCCCCAGGCGCGGGAAATGGTCGTCATGCCTCTGCCATGATTGTAAATGAACATGTTACCATGAAAAGTGCGTATACAATTTAAATATAGCCTAGATGTAAGCGTGGCTCCTTAAATAATGGTTTTAGAAATACAGGGGTAACGTCCTAAAGTTTGCCGACCCCAATGTTATTAGCCATACCGTTTCAAGCATGAAATTGCGACAGTCGTTTTTGTTTTCAAGTGTCGAGTAAAGTACTTGCATCAGTAGTATTACTGCCTGTACTGATGGTACATGAAGACGTTAACCCTATGAGAAAGTTTGTTGAACCGAAGTGTGAGCCGTATCAACAAGAATTGTCTCATGGCCACTCTGTTTTCCCTCTTCCTGTTTTATTGAGTGTGTCAACGACCGACCGTCGAATGCATGTCTCACCACACGTGACCCCAAAGCTCTTGTTTACGCCGGTAAGAGTACACGTGAACTTTGAGAACCCCTGGCAACGACCTTGGTACAATTTTACATTGTGCCGGCTAGTAAACATGATGAAAACAGACAAATGGCGCTTATTTCTTTTGGATAAATCCGGTGTCTGCCTGCACATCTACTGGGAAAACAATCCAATCAAATGCTGTGCCATGTGAGTTGATGGTTTTTATAATATTCTTTTAGTTCGGTGTCATTGTCCTCCGGGATTGAACGGCTCGCGGCTAGATCTGTTTAAACATTGACTACCGTCTATATAAAATGGGCTAGACTGTATTGAACACTGTCACCGTATCTACTGTGTAGACTGTATTGAACACTGTCACCGTATCTACTGGGGGTGGCTGTATTGAACACTGTCACCGTATCTACTGTGTAGACTGTATTGAACACTGTCACCGTATCTACTGGGGGTGGCTGTATTGAACACTGTCACCGTATCTACTGTGTAGACTGTATTGAACACTGTCACCGTATCTACTGGGGGTGGCTGTATTGAACACTGTCACCGTATCTACTGTGTAGACTGTATTGAACACTGTCATCGTATCTACTGTGTAGACTGTATTGAACACTGTCACCGTATCTACTGGGGGTGGCTGTATTGAACACTGTCACCGTATCTACTGGGGGTGGCTGTATTGAACACTGTCACCGTATCTACTGGGGGTGGCTGTATTGAACACTGTCACCGTATCTACTGTGTAGACTGTATTGAACACTGTCACCGTATCTACTGTGTAGACTGTATTGAACACTGTCACCGTATCTACTGGGGGTGGCTGTATTGAACACTGTCACCGTATCTACTGGGGGTGGCTGTATTGAACACTGTCACCGTATCTACTGGGGGTGGCTGTATTGAACACTGTCACCGTATCTACTGGGGGTGGCTGTATTGAACACTGTCACCGTATCTACTGGGGGTGGCTGTATTGAACACTGTCACCGTATCTACTGTGTAGACTGTATTGAACACTGTCACCGTATCTACTGGGGGTGGCTGTATTGAACACTGTCACCGTATCTGTGTAGACTGTATTGAACACTGTCACCGTATCTACTGGGGGTGGCTGTATTGAACACTGTCACCGTATCTACTGTGTAGACTGTATTGAACACTGTCACCGTATCTACCGTGGTAGACTGTATTGAACACTGTCATCGTATCTACTGGGGGTGGCTGTATTGAACACTGTCATCGTATCTACTGGGGGTGGCTGTATTGAACACTGTCATCGTATCTACTGGGGGTGGCTGTATTGAACACTGTCATCGTATCTACTGGGGTAGACTGTATTGAACACTGTCATCGTATCTACTGGGGGTGGCTGTATTGCTCATGCGGTTAACCTACCATCTATTGTCTACTCACACAAACCATAATTAAAACTAGGTAAACATCAATGTTTTGTCGTTCGTTAGTATATTGACTATCTCATGGCCGTGTCTATTGAATACATCTAACATAACTAATTTGACTGACACGTTCAGATGGCCGCCCCTCCTCACCCTGCCCGGCAACAATGAAGCGTTTCCTCCCAAGTGACACGATTTGATGTGTCTTTAGTGGCGTGTGGGTAGTAACCTTTGACCTTGTGTGATTCACGTTCCATGTTTAGAACCTCTGCCCTACTTGATTCACGTTCTGCGCTTAACCTTGACCCCACGTGACCTCGATTCGAAAGAAAAATAACTAGCAATGCTTCTCAAATGTCCGTGTTTGTGGTATGTATTACAATGAGCACAAGAAATAAAATGGAATTATAGCATACATTTATTTCTGCAGTAAGTTATGTCTATGGCGATACTCAAACTTTATTCAAGTAAACTTCACTAATCGTACGATTTTATCGAAAGTCTATCCGAACAGGTTAACAGAAAATTGTATGTAGGCCCTGGCCTATATATATATATATATATATATATATATATATATATATATATATATATATATATATATATATATATATATATATATATATACACACATACCAATATTATATTATATACATATGAAAGGGAGATCCGGACTACTATGATTAATTATTTCATTTTTTTACGTTGGTATATTTAAAAAAGAAACTGTTGACATTTACTTGGCTTGTTGTTCGACCTTCCTTTGAATTAATAATTTCGAAAACAATTATCTTTTAGGGCAAAATATCTCTGGAACAAATTTAAATAGTTGACAAATCAGGGCTCACACACGTAGAACACACATACACACAAAAACACTCGAACTCATTCTGGCTGACGTGTTTACGCTGCTTTAAAGTGCATTCACGGGGGAGGTCACTCGCGGAACATTCGAGAATCCATTGACCAAGTTTGGATGGTGAGATAAATTTAGAAACGCGAGATCTATTTTTACAAGGCATTGCCGCCGAAATCGATTAAAATTATTTTTAATTAGAGTATAATTATACATAAAAACACTTAAACGATTGTAATGTGTTTAATAAATTTAAACTTTTTTTTCTCTTTAAAACATCTGGGTATCTGTGGATATTAAATTATTAACCAAATAGCCTAGGCCTACTGTTTCTGTTTTTCTTGACGAAAGGTGGGGAATAGTGGGTCAACAGGCATAGGTCAAGGACAGTCAGATCCCGGCTTGACATGGAGAATGTGGCGATACCAACCGTCTGGATCGCTCAAATATCGGGTAGTAGGCTAAAGAGGGAGGGGAGGGGCGCTCGCTTGTCTGGATTGGTTGTTGAGGATGATAAAATGACTTGCCGCCCAGATATAATATACAGAGAAACAAAGCGGTGTCACAAGCTATGTTTTTAAGTTCAGTGTGCGTGTAGAAAAAAAAATTAACTGAATAAATTAAATACATTTGTAAGGGCGGTTTGTTTTCAAACATATTTATTAGATATCGATGGTATTCAATACAATTCAGTGTATATAATCATGACTGCCCTCTCCGCCAGTTTTCTTACACTTCCTTCTGGCACATTTTAGTGATGATTAGACTGCTTGCACTGCCTAACAGATTATATAGCATTCATGGATTGTTAATAACTCCTATCTCTGATGAAACACTTTTGTCACTCAAAGCTGATTTCATGTCTGGATAAAGCTAGGCTACAATTAGCAAATCTGGGTATAGTCAAGCCTAACTTCACAGGACCATCTTAATCATCACGTATCTATCCTGATCTTATATTCTAACTTTCACTGGCCTATCCTAACTTTCACTGGCCTATCCTAACTTTCACTGGCCTATCCTAACTTTCACTGGCCTATCCTAACTTTCACTGGCCTATCCTAACTTTCACTGGCCTATCCCAACTTTTACTGGCCTATCCCAACTTTTACTGGCCTATCCTAACTTTCACTGGCCTATTCCAACTGTCACAGTGCAATCAATCTCAACCTATCCTAGAGGGTTTGATGATCTATGATCTATTTACTGCTGTACCCTTATCTTTGTGTTTTGAGGCTACATATAATGTTTTAACTTTTCTCTAACCAAAAAGTCATGAACTTCATTTCTGTTTGGCGTTGACTAGACGTTGCACACAGTTTGGCATTTGACCTTAGAATGTCTAGATTGTTGAGCTGAGCCTGACTAAGTATTGGACCTTAGATTGTCTAAATTGTTGAGCTGAGCCTGACTAAGTATTGGACCTTAGAATGTCCAGAGAGCTGAGCCTGACAAAGTATTGGACCTTAGATAGTCTAGAGAGCTGAGCCTGACAAAGTATTGGACCTTAGAATGTCTAGAGAGCTGAGCCTGACAAAGTATTGGACCTTAGAATGTCCAGAGAGCTGAGCCTGACAAAGTATTGGACCTTAGAATGTCCAGAGAGCTGAGCCTGACAAAGTATTGGACCTTAGAATGTCCAGAGAGCTGAGCCTGACAAAGTACTGGACCTTAGATTGTCCAGAGAGCTGAGCCTGACTAAGTATTGGACCTTAGAATGTCTAGATTGTTGAGCTGAGCCTGACAAAGTATTGGACCTTAGAATGTCTAGAGAGCTGAGCCTGACAAAGTATTGGACATTAGAATGTCCAGAGAGCTGAGCCTGACAAAGTATTGGACCTTAGAATGTCCAGAGAGCTGAGCCTGACAAAGTATTGGACCTTAGAATGTCCAGAGAGCTGAGCCTGACAAAGTATTGGACCTTAGAATGTCCAGAGAGCTGAGCCTGACAAAGTATTGGACCTTAGAATGTCCAGAGAGCTGAGCCTGACAAAGTATTGGACCTTAGAATGTCCAGAGAGCTGAGCCTGACAAAGTATTGGACCTTAGAATGTCCAGAGAGCTGAGCCTGACAAAGTATTGGACCTTAGAATGTCTAGAGAGCTGAGCCTGACAAAGTATTGGACCTCAGAATGTCTAGAGAGCTGAGCCTGACAAAATATTGGACCATAATGCACTGGCCAAAAGTTGCAGCTAGAAATGCGCGTACCATGACCCTGTTAGAGCCAGTACGTGCCTTTTCTAACCGCTGATCTAGACGGTGATCACGTGATGTCTGTTGACTAACATGCAAGCTACTTAGAGGCTGCTGTTGACATGCGAACAAATGACATTTTTGAAAGAGCTCGAACAATTAATTAGACTGTCATCCAGCAGTAATCATTCAATTAGCCCCAGCGTTAATTAAATCTGTAATGACCAAACCCGTGCGCAACACGTCTTGTTGTTTTATTCGCTGCTTTTTCTCTTCTGAGCTTGCCTTAGTAAACCCGATGCTCGCTGACACCTAACTCCCAGTCCCGTTAGACCAATGCTAGCCATGAAGGAGGCCCACGCCTATATGGCTTACACTCAGCACTGCTGGATGGCGTATGGTAAGTTATCGTGGTCATCACATGTTTTTACCTCCCCCCCCCCCCGATTCCGCTTGGCCCTATTGTACCGGTAGTGGTAACCGCCAGTAGTGGTAACCGCCGGTAGTGGTAACCGCCGGTAGTGGTAACCGCCAGTAGCCGGTTTCACCATCGGCACTCCACTTGAAAGCGATTTGTTTTAACTTTTACCGTATACATTTTTAAATTACCTGGCAGAGTTTCTTCCAGGCATCTCTTCGGGGGGGGGGGGGGCTCTGCCCCCCCCCCCCCGAACGAAATGAAATTTATATAGAAAATTAAACTTTTAACAGTGTCCGCCGCCCCCCCCCCCCCCCCCCCGGAGAAAAAATTCTGAAAGAAACATTGTTAGCTGGTGATCAAACTATTGTTTGTGTATTACTAGCCATATATTATTTTCATATTAAAAACTTTCCTGGATTACACCTAGTTCCACCTCTGCACCCGTAAAAAATTGTTAGATCTAAGCCTAGTCTAGATCTGTACAAAACTATAGCCTTAGTCATTGTGGCTGTGTTGTTATTGGTGGATCTCTTGTTGTCAACTAGGTCACGTGACCGGAGTGGTGGTCACGCGCTCTGACGTGTTACCGCCTTAACTTTTTTTTACCCCAGATACAAAAGTTTGATGTTATAGGTCGTGTTCCCCACTGACAAGTGAAAATAAAACAAAAATGAACCAATTAGAAATATATTATTTTAAAGTTTCGCTATCAAAGAAACGAGCGCGAGATTATTTTTGTGCGAGATTCGTGCGATGTGTAGTCGTACCCACTTAGCAGATCCATTCTGTTGTCTGCTGTAAGCCGCTAGGCCGAGGGTTGCTGGTGTAGACACAGATCTAAAGAAATCTAGATAGAAGAGAATATTGAATTATGTTGACTCTAGTGGTAAATAGCTCATACGTTTATGAATAGGTATGTGAAATGTTATTTGATTGCTAATTGTAGCTCATCACTAGATGACTTAAATGTGTACTTGATTTCAATGTTTATTTTAAGGGTCGTCCTTAAATGACGCCACACTCATAGGGGAGAGGGGGTGGGTCTTAATTTTGCGACGAAACGTGAGGGGGGGGGGGGGTCAGAGATAGAGAGAAGTCACACTTTTACAAATTTAAAAAACAATGATGTTAGAAACTGAATCTTTGCTGTTAATTAATTAGCATTTGAGAAAGTTGTTTTTGTAAGTTGTAATTAACAGAAAGGGATTAATATGCACTGTGTTCAGTTTTTTCCAGACTTTTTTCTAAGGAGGGGGGGGGGGGGGGACGAACACTGATAAAAGTATTTCTAAAAAAAATTCATTGTGGGAGGGGGGGAGCATTAATTATAAGCCCATCACAAGATGACTTCAAGGGTTATATAAGCCCATCACAAGATGACTTCAAGGATTATATAAGCCCTTCACTAGATGACTTCAAGGATTATATAAGCCCATCACAAGATGACTTCAAGGATTATATAAGCCCATCATAAGATGACTTCAAGGGTTATATAAGCCCTTCACTAGATGACTTCAAGGATTATATAAGCCCATCACAAGATGACTTCAAGGGTTATATAAGCCCATCACTAGATGACTTCAAGGGTTATATAAGCCCATCACAAGATGACTTCAAGGATTATATAAGCCCATCACTAGATGACTTCAAGGGTTATATAAGCCCATCACAAGATGACTTCAAGGATTATATAAGCCCTTCACTAGATGACTTCAAGGATTATATAAGCCCATCACAAGATGACTTCAAGGATTATATAAGCCCATCACAAGATGACTTCAAGGATTATATAAGCCCATCACTAGATGACTTCAAGGGTTATATAAGCCCATCACAAGATGACTTCAAGGATTATATAAGCCCATCACTAGATGACTTCAAGGGTTATATAAGCCCATCGCTAGATGACTTCATGGGTTATATAAGCCCATCACAAGATGACTTCAAGGATTATATAAGCCCTTCACTAGATGACTTCAAGGATTATATAAGCCCATCACAAGATGACTTCAAGGATTATATAAGCCCATCATAAGATGACTTCAAGGGTTATATAAGCCCTTCACTAGATGACTTCAAGGGTTATATAAGCCCATCACAAGATGACTTCAAGGATTATATAAGCCCATCATAAGATGACGTCAAGGATTATATAAGCCCATCATAAGATGACTTCAAGGGTTATATAAGCTCATCACAAGATGACTTCAAGGGTTATATAAGCTCATCACAAGATGAGAGACTGCAGAAATTGACAAAATTGTTGGTCCCATACATCTGCCAGAAAAATAAAATGTTTACTTTACATTTCAGGAAGGGTCATGAGTTCTGAAAACAAAGAAGTCCAAAATGATTTCATTGACAGTTCAACTGGTATTGATAAACTTATGGACAATGAGAACCATGGTGAGTAACTCTTGCTGCTGTGAATTTAACAGAAGTGGGGGGAGGGGGTGTAGCATTTCAATGATGACTTATATGCTCAAATACTTTGTTAGCATATCAACAATGGCTGACATGCTCAAATATTGTTATTAGCGTATCAAGGGTGTCTGCTGATGACTGGCTATTTGCCGACATCTCACAACCATTATTTCTCTTCCATTCTTCTACTTATTTAGAACTGAATGCCAGAAAAATTAAAATAACATTGAGGTTGTAGATGACACCACAATCAATGTCCCCAGTAAGGGGAAAAGGAAGTGAATAACGTGTATTTTGTGTGGGTGTTCTACAAGGAAATCTGTATTTTACAAAATGACTGCACTGTAGGTTCAAAACTACTGGCAGCAGCACAGCTTAGAAGGAACATTGACCACAATCTAAGGCTGGTGTAGGTGTCACATGACATCATCCACTTAGGGGACTGGAATTTTTGGATGAAACATGTGTAGCAACACACTTGTCATGTGTAGCAACACACTTGTCATGCCCAGTTAACCACTATCTCAGCTATGTTTGGTATTAGGAAATAAACATTTCACACACAAGACAATGTGGTTGACTGGTTTAGCAGACAGTTCACTCTTTATTGCAGAAGAAAAAGCAAAAACTGATATTTTTTACTATGTTGTGTGTTTCAGATATAAACAAACATGAATCAGCAATCCAAGATTTGGCCAGATACTTGTCTTCACAAGAGCCCCACAAAGATTCCATGATGGTTGATGACAAACAGCCAGTCCACGAGTCCAGCTACAGCAGTGCCCAGACTGGTCAGCACTATGCTTCTCTACAGGCCTCGCCAGCTTGTGGTCCCCTCAGCTACAGCCATGAGAGTACAAGTTCAAACAATAGCCAGCAGTTCTTACAGCACAGAGACTCCTTTGACCAAAGTGCTGGCATGTTCCCTCAAGCCAGTGATAGACCTAATGGAGGAATGCTCTTCTCTGCATCCTCAGCTTTTGACAATGTCCAGCATGGTGAGGCAGGCAACCTGCAGCCACTGTCAGGTGGCAGTGAGCTGCAGTACTACAGCAGTGGGGCAGCAGGGCAGTACCAGCCTGACACAGACCTGCAGTTCCATCACAGCCTGCACACTCAGCAGGTCACCCAGGCAGATTCCAGCAGTTTCCAGAACACATCCACCCTGTCACACACATTTTCCCCAGCCTCTGGTCCCCCTCCCCAGTTTAATGGCACCCAAGATAACCTGAGCTACACCATGATGGAGGTCAATCACTCAGACTCGGCCAGTCAGTTCAAGGTCTTGGAAAAAATGCATGTGGATGAGCCAGAAGGAGATTATCTTGATGGCTTTGAGTTCAAAGCTCCTGGATCCTCTGGTGTGCCAATGAAAAACTTCAGCCCTGAAATGTGTCAGTCAGCTGAGGCTTCTGGCTATGACATGGGCTCATTCACTCACTCGCTGGCATGTAATCCATTGTCTGACAATTACTCTGGTCCTAGCTGTGACCAGAACTCATCATTTGATGTCTCCAACAACCAGTACCCTGTCTCCTCCAGTTCCTTTGATTCAGCTCCATTTATTGCCACAAGTATTGAGCAGCCTGTACATCAGTCGCCTGCCCCTGACTCGGTCCAGTCAAGTATTCCAGCGGGTGACTACAGCGCTGAGGGCGGGGTGAGCCAGCTGCCAGGTTCTGAGTTCAGTCTGCAGCCCTCACACACCCCAAGCTCCCACAGCTATGTCTCCAGCCTGTCAAGCCCCACACAGAGCAGCCAGTTCACTGAAGCTTCACCCTCCTCATCACCTGCTGGACTAGACAATTTCCAGGCTAATCTAGCCATGGAAAATGCTCAAACTTCTAATGGATTTCAACCCATAAATAACTTTACACAGTCTTTGCAAAATCCCCAAGACCAAAGTCCCTTTCATAATGCAGATGGAGCTTATGGTAATAATGTTGATGTTTTAAGTCCTGAGCAGCAGCCTGCAGAATTTCGGGAAAGGGTTAACTCTACTTCCAGTAACAAAGATATTCCTGCGGTTAGCCTGCCAGAACAGCATACTTTCATGAATAATGCTCAGGTTCCATCCATGAGTGAGGCCTCAGACAATTACTACACCCCCAGCAGTGATGTCAACCTACATCATGCTGATGAGATCACTAGCACAGCTGGTGGATTAACTATGGAGAATTTCACGCCTGCTTGTGTTCCATCATCCAGTGAGCAGACGCAGTATGCAGATCACACAGGTGCATTTAGTCACCTGGACCTGGCATCTGTTGTCAACTGTGACTACACCAGCACAGACATGGCAGGCCTGAAGCATGCTTCACTTGACATGAACACCACAGCAGAGACCACCATGTACAGTGGATATAACTTCATAACTGCCACACCCTCTGTAAGCTTCCCTGAGACCATAGAGACAAGTGTGAACCAGTCACTGGGCTACTGCGCTCCAGGCCTGACCAGCTTGTCAACAAGTAGCCCAGCCTCTCTGATGGAAACCCAGGCCATGACATCACACCCTGTTGCCATGGCCGGAGAGGGCACCTTCCCTGTGCAGACCAACGACTTTGTCACCACTAGACTTGAGCCTAGTTTTAGTGGACAGACTCACCCAGAGATTGACCAGTTTCCTCAGCCAATGCTGGTCCAAGAAACAGATTTCCTGAAAAAAATGGAAGAACCAACTGCTTTTCCTTACCCCACGGAGGTTCCCATGAACACAAACAGCATCGAGACTGCCATGGATATCTCCAGCAGTCAAGCTGAGAGAAGTATCAGCTTTGAGGAAATCCACAGGTCCATTGTCAATGCAGGCAAGCAGTTTGCTAGCACAACTGTCAACAACAACAACAGAGCATTCCCTGAATCACCAATGATGGCCAAAAGTCAGTCTTCTGAGCTGACTAAGCCAGTCTTTACTGCAGGTCCCTCTGGTTCAGCAGACTACACACCCTTGTCAGAGGACTTGACCTTAAGCTCCACTGTCACCTCACAAAGCAACTTTGTCACAGGGCAAACATTTAGCCCTCCTCTCAATACATTTGATAGCTCATTGTCCAATTCAGATCAGAGAGTCCTTTCTGGCATCCTTGACAACATTCAGCAGTTCCCAATTTCAAGTCAGTCAGCAATACAGCAAGAAATGGTGGGAACTCAAGTCCCAAATTTCCTTGACGCTCCCAGGGTGTCTGTGGCTGATGCCAGTATCCCAGATGGCTCAGCACCCGCGGTGGGGCAGACAACGTGCTATGTGGTCACTGTGGTGGGCTCCACCCTGGGCTCTCCCAGCATTGTGGTGGCCAACCCCACCATGAACCAACCCAAGCTGGTGGTGATCCCTAGCTCAGCAACCAGTCAGCAGCCAGTTGTACAGAATCCATTACTAGTCAGTCCTGTGGGCACTTCCACAGGTGCCAGCTCACTGCTTGCCACTGTCAACAACAGCGTGACACCAAGCTTTGCTGGACTATCCAGCTTACCTGCTGGGCTTTTTATACAAAGCCCAGACTCAGCCAAGCCAGCCCTGGTCACCATAGCAGGTAAAGTGAGTCAGCCAGCAGCTATACCAATAAAAAGCAGTTTGCCCACTGTGATCATCCCAGCAGGTACTCTATCCTCTGGAGGCAACAACAATCAGAATAGCAGACAGATCATGTTGTCCCTGGAAGAGCTTCAGAAATTGCTTTCCCAACAAAGCCTTTCTCGGCCATCTCAAACTATACCCATACAGCAGCCTGCTGCTTCAGCCACGGCCCACACTCTAGTCTTTCAAAAGCCGGCTGTACACTCAGTCAAGCAGCAACAGCCTCCAAAGCTGCTCATTAGAAATGCCACATTTTCTAGCCAGCCTCGCCACGTCCAACAGCAGCCAGACAAGTTACAGCTTATTGTGCAGCCCAGCAACTCATCCCAAATGAATAAAACTTGTGAGCTGATTGTGGCAGGAGAATCTCAGAAAAGCCAGGCCAGCCTTCAGGCCAGCAGAGAGTTCCAGCAGAAACTTCAGTTGCCCCAGCCACCACAGATGACAGAGCAGCCAAAAATCTCTCTCCAGCTGAAATCACATGTAGCCTACCAGCCATCTCAGAACCTGGTCATTCAACATGCTCCATCTGTAGAACAGAAGAGTGCACCCTTCCAGCTACTGGGACAAAAGCAGCAGTATTCAGCCTTGCATACCGACCTGAAAACCCCTTACACCCACGTACAAGTTCAGCCTCCTACAGCGACTAATGTTGTACCCCTGGCCCAGATGCAGCAAGAGCTGCTACAGCTGCAGAAGCAGCAAGAGCCAGAATCTGAGTTCAGTGATAAGCAGCTGAAGCATCTGCATCTGCTGCACCAACTGTCCAAAGAGAACTCTGACAGAATGTGTAGTGAGAATGTAAAAAAAGATTTCAAACATCTCCATGGTTTGCTGACTAGTGAGAGCACATCAGTAGTAAATGCACAAAATAAAGGTTAGACATTTTGTTTTTCTTTTAGGTACATTACATGTCTAATATATAAAGCTCAGTTCTGTATGTAATGCATATGTTTGTCGTTGGAATTGTATGAATTTAAGTGTTAGAAAATTATCGTGAGCATTTGTCTAAATTTATGAGCTAAAAAATTACTATTGAAAGTGTTGGGAAATAATTTTCATTTTTCAAATTATAGTAATAATTGTCGGCATGTTCATTAAACACAAGTTTTAAAAAAATATCATCTTTTACAAAAATTCTAATTATGTCTTTATTTAGTCCTATAGCACTTACTTCCCTTTGATAAATTAGGAAAACAAAATTACTTCCCTTTATAAAACCATTGCATTTTGTGGAAAATATGTTACTTTTTAATTACTTTGTTTTGGTGTTGGGAACAAAAAATAATTACATAATTAGCGGGGATTGATCAAGTGCAAATGTTGTAGGTATTTTACGGATAGGCTTGGAGTATTAAAATTGTTCATTAAATTGAAACAGGCGCGTTCGTTTAAGTGAGTGCAAAAGACTATGAATAAGTTGGGGTACTAAAGTCGTTCATTAAGCTAAAACAGGTGATTCCGCCCCGGGCGTTTATGTTCGCGTTAGTGTTTTCTTTGTGTTTAGGTGGGTTTGCGTTTTGATTTGGTTCGTTTTTGTTCTTTCTTTTTTCGTTTTTGTTTGTGTTTTTTTGTTTGGGTTTGTATTTGTGTTTTTGGTTGGTTTTGCGTTTGGATTTGGTTTGTTTTCGTTTGCTTTTTCGTTTTTTTTTGTTGGTATTGGTGTTTGTGGTTGGGTTTGTTGTTAGGTTTTTGTTTTCGTTTGCTTTTTTGTTTGTTTTTTCTTTGTGTTTGTATTGGTGTTTGTGGTTGTGGTTGGGTTTGTTGTTAGGTTTTTGTTTTCGTTTGTATTTGTAATTGTGTTAGCGTTATGTTTGCGTTTTGTTGTTTTGGTTGGTTGTGGTTTGGGTGGGCAATGCCGGGTTTATGATGATTACTAAACACACAGGTAATGGTCTTTAACAGAAAGGTTTTTCACAGAAGCCAGAGCAGGGCCTGGCCGGGACGGCTAGTTTAGTATAAAACTTAGTTTTTCCTAAGAAGGATACTAGTCTATATATATAAAGCAAAGTGGTCGGGTGCCCGATAGGGCACTTCCCGGCGCCGCAGGCGCGTCAAATTTGGCACGATGGTGCCTTGGGGCGATAGAACACGAGGGCCGGTGACGGTTGGCCGAAAAGTCTACGGAGAGGGGGTCAAAACTGACCTCGACTGACCGGCGCCTTATATGGGCTATATTAAGAAAAAAAAATTCCTCCGACGACCCCCCTTGAAATTTTGTGAGGTGGTAGGAGAACCCCTTGGGGTGTCACAAAAAACTCGGCATATCTGGGAAAACTTCGAAAAGGGGTCAAAACTGACCAGTCGTATTTCCCTATATAATCTTTGTATTTTATGGGGAAAACAGAGGGTCATTTCAAAACGGATTTTAGGGCACTTACCTTCTTTCCATCTGGCTAAGTTTTGGCATGCTTATAGGTAAATGGCTTGGCCGTAGGGCAGACATGTCCGTTTCACTCAAAGCCCTCGACGAGGGCTAAAAAGTGACCGCGAGTGAAATTCTCTTTACATGAGCTCTATTACGAAAAAAAATTTCCTCCGACGACCCCCCTTGAAATTTTGTGAGGAGGTAGGAGAACGCCTTGGGGTGTCAAAAAAAACTCGGCATATCTCGGAAAAATCGGGAAGTGGGTCAAAACTGACCAGTTGTATTTCCCTATATAATCTTTGTATTTTATTGGAAAAACAGAGGGTCATTTCAACGCAGGCTTTACTGTACTTAAACTCAGTATATCTGGCTAAATTTTTGCATACTCTTAGGTCAATGGCTTGACCTTTAGGGAAAACTGTCGGTTTCACTCAAAGCCCTCGACGAGGGCTGAAAAGTGACCGCGAGTGAAATTCTCTTTATATGAGCTTTATTACGAAAAAATATTTCCTCCGACGACCCCCCTTGAAATTTTGTGAGGTGGTAGGAGAACGACTTGGGGTGTCACAAAAAACTCGCCATGTCCGGGAAAAATCGGGAAATGGGTCAAAACTGACCAGTCGTATTTCCCTATATAATCTTTGTATTTTATTGGATAAACAGAGGGTCATTTCAACGCAGGCTTTAGGGTACTTAAACTCAGTATATCTGGCTAAATTTTTGCATACTCTTAGGTCAATGGCTTGACCTTTAGGGAAAACTGTCGGTTTCACTCAAAGCCCCCGACGAGGGCTAAAAAGTGACAGCGAGTGAAATTCTCTTTATATGAGCTCTATTACGAAAAAAAATTTCCTCCGACGACCCCCCTTGATATTTTGTGAGGTGGTAGGAGAACGCCTTGGGGTGTCACAAAAAACTCGGCATATCTGGGAAAACTTCGTAAAGCGGTCAAAACTGACCAGTTGTATTTCCCTATATAATCTTTGTATTTTATTGGAAAAACAGAGGGTCATTTCAACGCAGGCTTTAGGGTACTTAAACTCAGTATATCTGGCTAAATTTTTGCATACTCTTAGGTCAATGGCTTGACCTTTAGGGAAAACTGTCGGTTTCACTCAAAGCCCTCGACGAGGGCTAAAATGTGACCGCGAGTGAAATTCTCTTTATATGAGCTCTATTACGAAAAAAAATTTCCTCCGACGACCCCCCTTGATATTTTGTGAGGTGGTAGGAGAACGCCTTGGGGTGTCACAAAAAACTCGGCATATCTGGGAAAACTTCGTAAAGGGGTCAAAACTGACCAGTCGTATTTCCCTATATAATCTTTGTATTTTATGGAAAAAAACAGGGTAATTTCAACACAATTTTTACGTTACTTAACCTCTGTACATCATGCTAATGTTTTGCATACACTTCTATAGATGACTAGGCCGTATGGAAAAACTGTTAGTCAGACTCAAAGCCCTCGACCAGTGCTAAAAGATGACCGCGAGTGAAATTCTCCTTATATGAGATATATATATAAATAATTTGACGATCGATCCCGTTAATATTATTTGAGGTCGTAGACCGACCCTGGAGGGTAACAAAAAAACTTTAATCCCGTCGGAAAAAGCTATTGTAGTCGTTAAATATGTTTATATATCGTATTTTCTTATATAAGCATAGTAACTGTTTAAAAAAAAAGTAAACACAGAGATACGTCATTCGGTTAATTTCCAAGGGAGGTAACCTTTTTAAATAATTATTTTTCAAATAATTGTATACTATTTTAAACAGAAACAGAAAACGACAAAGTATAGCATTTGTTTTAGATAAAAATAAGTTATTAATTAAGCTACGTATCATAATTAAATAAAAAATTAATTTTTAAAGTCAATGTAATATAAGTTATGAGATATACTGTTCATGGAACCTCTGTAGTTCTATTTCCATCTTAGTTATAAATTGCGTACTTTCGAACACTTTCTCTGAATGCTGATGTTAAAGAGCATAGGCCTACAACATCTTCTCTAAAATTAGCATTACTGTTTACATTTAAGCACTCCACGCCTCATCCATCACCTAATAATTACTATTCAAATTATCAAATGTTTTTGAAAACCTAAGCGAAGCTAGGCAGTATGCCTAGTATCATATAATTTCCCCATCAGCATGATGGAAATAGTCTCCTTCCAGCCTGCTTGTTACCTTTGTTTTTATATTTACTTGCTAAGCTATAACAGTTTTCTGTTCTTGTTTCAGCACTCCCTCCAGTTCTTAATTTCCCCACTGCTATCCAAGGAAACCTTCAGCTATCAAATGGGACGACCATCGGAACATCCCCAGCCCATATGACCCCAGTGAGAACTTTTGCTGCATCTGTTCCCTCAACATCAGCACCATTTTCTTTCCTCAACAGCACACTTCCTCCAGGTGCACTCAACCCAAGTGGGCTGTCAATACCATCTCACAACTCCAACACAAGTGCCCCACTGACAACTCTGGCATTTACAAATGTTTTCTCTTCCAATTTCTTGTCCAAGTCTTTTGAGACCAAGGAGGTGAAGTCAGAGGTGGGTACCTCCACCCTGTTTTCCCTGCCTCACCAAGCTCACAACCCAGTACACCTGGCAACTGATGCAGCCCAGACTCTGCTAGAGAACACGTCCAACCAACAGAACTCTCTACTGGCCCAGATTCTGAGGGACAAGAAGAGAAGCCATTCACCTCTCACTGTTGATATTGGTAGTCCACAAAACTCAAACTCTGAAGCTCCTTCCCCATTATCTTCCCCCCATGGGTTTGAAGATGGAAACACACAGTCCACTTTGATCCAGCGCTCAGAAGATCTTCACATCAAGTCTGACACTCTGCACAGTGTCAACGATGATGACGATGATGAAAACGCCTCATTTTTTGACATGAATGCTTTCCACAAGCGGCCATCAACGGAGGAGATCTTGTCCACTCGAGGCAAGGATGAAAACGTCCCAATGAAAATTCTCAAGGGCTCCCTAAACGCAGATGCTCGCTCTAGCATCCAGCCCCCTCCCTCCCCTGAACATGCATTTGATATTGGCAGTGTTGTCAGCACAGCATCCAATTTTTCTTTTGCTTTTGGAAACAAGGAAGACAACTTGGAGGTGTTTACATTTGGTTCTACTGGGACCAACATTAGCACTACAGATACACTGTAAGTACTTGATTACAGATAGATACAAGTGGTAACTGTTGTAGTACTGAGATGAATATTGTTGTTATTACAGATAGATTAATAGTTGTATTGCTCTGATTAATATTTTTCACTAAATTGACAACTTCATTCTACATGTTGTTTTGTTCACTTATGATTTCTAACCTTAATTTCAAGGTCAATATTAGCAGTAAACATTGTACAAAACCCAATATCCTTTTCCTTTAGATATAAATATATAAAAAAGAGCTGGGCAAATATATATACACTATGGAGTTAACATAAGGGGTTATCTATCTAATAAACTCCTTTGTTAACAAGATAGAGCTTTTAACTTGTTCACACATTTATTTTTTGATCTGAACTTTAGATTCTTCACTTACTGCTGCTAGATACAATTGACATTCACACCTGGATTGTGAATGAATCCTGCCCTACATATGGCCCTTTGAATTGGATCTATTTTTAAACCATAGAACCTGTTTTTATGCTTGTCATTCATAAAATGTCCTACTTTAGCATTTTAAAGTTGTTTACCTTCTTGTGGTGAATACTTTGTGGCTCTTGCAGGAATTCAAAGCCAGTTTTAGTTATTTTGTTTAAGTTAATACTTGCTCTTTTAGAATTCAATAATTTGAAAACAATTCTCATTTTGACCATGTTGAAGGCTGAATGCTGTACCCAAATCAAGTGTGAAAGGTGCTAGTGTCAGCAGGACCAGTGTCCCTACACAGTCCGTAAGGCCTCAGACCAGGAAACAGAAAGAGTACAGTCTAAAGGCTTACTACTCCAGCAAGCTGGACAACATTGAGCTGAAGATTCTTGAACAGCCAGAGCCACATCATCGTGCTCGTTACCAGACTGAGGGCAGCCGTGGTGCCATCAAAGATGCCAGTCAGCAGGGGTTTCCTGTCATTAAGGTTGGTAGCTGGTTACTTTGTGAGCCTGTGTTGTATCTGGTGGTTGGGTGTAGGTTAAAGGGTTCAGGAAACTTGCTAGCACCTTCAAATGTTAGCTCTTCTTTACAAAAACTAGTGAATATCAATAAATTGAAGGGGGGGGAAAACTTGAGATTTTTGTTTAACTGTATGTATTATTTACAACTTTGTTGTCAAATTTAAAGTGTGATAATATATCACAACACTGCAGTCCATACTGAAGATAGGCATTTCAAGTCTAACCTTATTAATGAAATGAGTTCTGAACTTTCTAACAGCTGATTGGCTACAGTAAACCAACAAAACTACAAGTTTTCATCGGCGACGAGTGTGGGCGAGTTAAGCCTCATGGCTTCTACCAAGCTTGTCGGGTGTTTGGCAAAAACTCCACCTCCTGCACAGAGCAGGAGATAGAGGGGACAACTGTCATTGAAATAGACATGCTGCCTGAAAATGAGATGATAGTCAAGTAAGTGAGTTATCTAAGGTTTGTTGTAGCTGAGATAATTTTACTTGTGTAGAGGAAGCAGCCTTTTTTATGTTGATTTACTAAACCAGTCGAGGAATGTACCCATGTATTCTGTTGCAGCGTCTAGCCAATGTAATGTTGTATTTATTTTTAACAAATAGTTATGTTTGCTTTCCTCTAGACTTGACTGTATTGGTATCCTGAAGCTGAGAAATGCTGATGTTGAGAGAAGGATAGGTCCCAAGCGAGCTAGAGACAAAAAGAAACACAATACCAGAGCTAGACTGGTCATTAGAACTTTTGTAGAGAAAGTTGATGGTAGCCAGCACGTCTTGCAAGTTGTCTCAAACCCTATTGTTTGTAGTAAGTCTGACACATTTTATGTAGCTTGTAAGGTTTTTTAGCAATTTACTTTTAGTTTATACATTTTTAAATTAGTTCTATCTCATTTCCTTTGAACTTAGGATTATCTAAATTGATTTTTATATTTTCCTATAAGCTCATCACAAAACTCATGAATTATGCAGTTTTAAATTATTTTAAATTTAGTCATTCAATATCCAATTAAAGCTAAAACCATGAGTAAGCCTTGCAATAAGTGTAATAAAACCTTGGTAAAGATAGGAGTACAATTCATTTTCATGCTTTTTTGAGAACTTGTTCTACTTACAAATAGTTAAAAAATGTGTTTTAAAAGTGAAGTGACCAAAGGTAGAGAAGTAATAATGTAACCAATTGCTATGTAGCCCAACCAGTTGGTCAGCCAGAAATCTCCAGGATGAGCCTCACAGAGTGTACCAGTGAAGGGGGGCAGAGCTTGTTCATCATTGGCAAAAATTTTAAGAACAAAGGAACCAGTGTGCTTTTCCAGAAGCTGGATGCTAATGATGAGGCAATCATATGGCAAGCTGAAGCTGAAATAGAGCAGGAATTCTTCCAGCCAGTAAGTTTAAAAAAAATAACTTCTCTGACTAATCAAAGTAAAAACACTATAAACACATTAGATAATGTAGAATTGAAAAGTAATCAAAAAGATAAGATACCAAAAAAAAAAAAAGTAAAAATTGTACTCAACCATACTTAATTTATTGATTCTTTTAACAATGACCTCAACAGACTCACCTGATCTGCAAGGTGCCGCCTTACAAAGATCAGCTGATACTGGAGCCAGAGCAGATTCAGATTGTGGTTAGTTGTGCTGGCAAGAAAAGTGACTCCCATAGTTTCTACTACAAGCCAGGTTAGATCAGCATAGCTAAGATGTACTCATTTGTTTTCGGTTACACCCACACACAGAACTCTAATATCTATTATTGTTACTTTTCTGTTGGCTTAACCCTTTAACTACTGGTTCAAAGTGTATCAACATAAATCTTGATTCTTTTTAGCATGCAAGTGAACTTTAAAAAAATACTAAATGTGGTTAATGCTTTTGCTGAAATGTGTACTAAAATTACTGTGTTTCACATGCAAAATCAAAATCTATGTGATAATGATGCCCTGTTTTAGTTTTTAAAGGGTTAATTTTTAAATTACCTAAACCCATCACTAAGTACTGTAATATTTATTAGTTTCTTTTGTTGTGGGTTATCAAATAAAAAACAACTTGGGGTATTTTAATAGATTTTTAAAAAGCACTTACTATCTAGTTATACATCTTTAGTGCTTGAAAATTCCTGAACAAAATGTTGGAACTGTGCCCTTTGTTTACATTGGATATATGTAATACAACTGTTTTATGATTGCAGACTGTGGTATTTTGGTTTGACCTCTCACTGTGCAGAGATGCACTCACTAGCTAGCTTGATTGAAATAAAAGTGTGGCATTTGATGCAATTATTGATGGCTGATGGTTGTAGATGCCAGCTGATGTCCAGGTTGATTGGGCTTAGTTATAAACTGGTTCTTGTAAAATGGATGACCTAAAAAAACTGGAAATAGACATGGAGTGTTTATAAATGGACATTTATTATTGGAATATTTAGAGAACTGAGATTGATCCATCTCATTTGGGTGTTGTGTCAGTACTGACAGACATTGTATTCACACCTGGTAGATGTGATAGCTTGTGCTCAGTGCCTCAAAAACAATATCACAAAAAACTCACTTGAAATAATAGGCAGTATTTCTACCTTGATTTAATATGCCATTTTTTGTGTTTGAATTGAAATACATTTGGCTTATTTCTCTTAACCCTTTGCAGTACATAAAAAAAAGTACATTCAGCAACAGATTATGAACCTGTGTATTGGTAGTATAATCATATTTATAATGATTCATCCTACAACTTTATTTAAATCATTTTAAATGAAGATATTCATTTAGCATTTTTAATTTAGCTGAAGCATGACAGTTTTTATAAATTCTGAAGCATTTAAAGATACAGTTATATATATTTATTTGTATTTAACTGTATTTGGATAATTCTCGTTTGGGTTTATTTCATGTTATAAAAGCTGCAATGAGGTTAGTAGGAAATATGTCTAACAAAGCATAGGTTGATTCCTACAAATTTGGCTGGACCAATGGCCACTGTTCCATAATAGTTGCACATCTGGTGCCTACATGAACTGAATGACTAATGTATATGTCAGACAATCCATTTAGCCGTTGGATTTGTGCACTTAGCACTGTCAAGGCTGGTGACTGTCCTAACCAAAATACAACCACAGTAAGTTGTTTGTTTTATTGCTAAAGGGCTGCATGACACCCAGTTGTCATATGGTCACTTACTCACTCAAATACTTTTCACTGTTTGATTGGGTTAGGACACATTAAAGGTTAGGAGCCTCCAGAATGGCAAAATATAAAAAACTGGTTTTTTTTTAAAACCAGTTAATCATCGATAGATTAAATATTCAAAAGACAATTTTATGGTCGTGATTTTAATGTCTTAGTATAAAAAAGTATTACCACATTAAAAGTATAGGTTATTTTTCTATAAGCATTTGTTTGTTCAGCAACAAATTAGTCTCTAATTTGAGACATGTGTATCTTCTTAAGCAGTTTTTGTAGATAATTTAGTTAGCTATTTCACTAAGACAAGTTATTAGTCACACCTGACATTTTACATTCCACCAAACTTTCACTCACACCTGACATTTTACATTCCACCAAACTTTCACTCACACCTGACATTTTTACATTCCACCAAACATTCACTCACACACACCTGACATTTTACATTCCACCAAACTTTCACTCACACCTGACATTTTACATTCCACCAAACTTTCACTCACACCTGAATTTTACATTCCACCAAACTTTCACTCACACCTAATATTTTACATTCCACCAGTTTTTTTTACTCACACCTGACATTTACACACTTGCACCTGATATTTACATGCCATTTGGTATATTTGAGTAGGATTCACCTATTAAAATTTTAATAAAAAAGAACTTCATTTCATGAAGCTTGGACAAAATTGTTTTGCAATTAAATCACAAAGTATTTAAAAATAAAAATGAACACTTACCATAAAGAATTAATGTTATACAAAGCTTAGTTGAAAAGTAAATTGTATCCATAGTTGAATTTGTTTGAATAACTTGCTGCTGTTTGTGATCTGTCCTTTTCTGAATTAGTGTCCCAGTGTCGGAGGCACCTTCAGTCTGGCTAAGACATGATAGTTAGCGCTGCCTGTTTTGGGTGGTGTGGCCAGTCTGTGTGCATGTAGCCCAGATCAGTGACGACATTTGCCCAGGTTATTTCATACACCAAGGCTTGCCACTCTCCTCTCTCTCATCATCTCCCAGCATCACTTCTTACAAAAATCTCAATCACGCCAGAACTTTAACTTGTACCAAGGCTCACTCAACCAACTCTATAGCCTTTGTATAACGTGCAATACATTTCTCTCAAAGGGTTACTTTTATTGTTTAATTCGTCATGTTAAAGTGAAATACATTTTTTATTCCATAATTTATCTCTCAACATTTTTGTTTTCTTATTGACTCATGTATGAGATATAAAAAAATAGTTTTGTTTCAACAAGGTAGCTGTTTTAACACTTGTGCATTTGAGGCTTGGTTCATTCAATCCTGTTGCCTGTTAGTGCATGTTCTTTTCCTTTTCTGAATGAAACAAACCCTCTCATGTTTCACGCTTGATTGAGTTCAGCTTTTTGAACTATTTTTAACTACCTGTACTTGCTTTGAAAAACTGCATTATTAATGCCTTGTTGTCTAATGCATAAGCAGTTAGTATTTGCAGTTGAACTTTATTTTATTTCAAAGTTTGGTAGATTTTATTTTTTTTTTGCTTTTGCATACAAAGTTTACCTGGCTTGTTTGGTCCTTTCTATGGAAATGAAAGTGAATTTCAATTAATTGCTTGTACAGTGGCATATGCAGGGTGTTTCTCCCTATGGATCTCCAAAATGGTCACACCAGCTTTGTGACTGTAAAACCACCACTAGACTTTTAAAAAATTTTCTGTAGCGTATATATGTATGTATATGTTTATGTGTGTATATATAAATATATATATATGATATATTGTATATGCTCCACCCATGTAAAAATCCTGCCTGTGCCACTGGTGTGTTATGTAGTGAAAGTCACCCACTGACAATTTGTCTAGAGACACATTTTCAATGATTTTCCCTTGGCACTATCCTTGCTTGAAATGCTGAGTTGACTTAGGACTCTGGTGGCTGTATAAGGAATCAAAAATAACTTTTTAAATTCCATGTTCAATAGAATGTAGTGGATGAAATAAAGTATACCACCAAAGTCTAACTTACACTGGCCTAACCCTAACCAATTGCGCTCACATAAGAAAAATTGTCACATTTCTAACCAAACTAAAGATTTTAGTTAGACTAGATCTAGTTAGAAAAGAGCGGATGATGTTGAAGAAAATGGATAAGAGAATGAATGAGACAGATGTATCACTGCAGCTACCTTGTTGAAAGCTTTAGTTCCATTAATTAAAACATGTTTGTTTCTACTCGATCTCCCAGAAATCAAACTATTTCTACTCTTGTTTGTATTCTTCAACAATTGTACTAACTGTACTTCACTTGTAAGAATTTCTTTCTGTGATAATTAACTCCTCAGTTACTTTTTATACTCACTTAAATATTGTTAACACTTACTGTTAACTGTAATTACATTATTTAACATTTCCAATCAAGCTGTTTTCTTTTAGATGAATTCTTATAACTGTATTTCTTTCACAGTTTATCAAGTGGCACCAATAGTAAAGCCAGAGGTTCCTATGGAGACTGACAGTATTTCAAGTACCAAGACTTTGTCCTTTGTCTCACCTGGTTAGTCTAATTGCCAAAATATTTGATATTAAAAACAGGGTGCCTCAAGTTTACAAAGTGTATTCAGCCTCACACAACTGATGTTTACAACTTGCACAAATGTTTACTTGATGGCCTGGACTTGACTTAACAAATATATTGTCACATTGACAACTTTAACAAATATATTCTGTCACATTGACAACTTTAACAAATATATTCTGTCACATTGACAACTTTAACAAATATATTCTGTCAGAAATGATTCTTTTAGATGATAGTAAAATTGTATTTATATTTGAAAGAAGAAACGTCTCAGTAAAATTGTATTTATATTTGATAGAAGAAACGTCTCACACACTTCAAGTTGAATTCATTTTTTGTTGTTGTAATTTCCACAGAAGCTCTTCACCTCAACAAAATGGTTCACCAGGCCCATGTCCAGTCCTCGACATCCAACTCTGTGTTTCAGCTCCCACCTGGGACCATCCCACACCTGCGCAGTTCACAGACTGTGTTAGATAACCTGAGCGCACCAGAGCCTCAGAAGCCTGTCACAGTTACTGGATACTCTCCAGCCCCTGTGGGAGTGGCCCATGCAGTGGATAAGTCGGTCCTCATTAAATCAGAATCATACTTAAAAAACATGTTGCTGGAGGAAAACTCAGACAACTTGTTACTGAGATCTGATGCTTTTGCTGGGACAGATATTAAGCCAGCAGGTAAATGCTTTATCTCATTTTGCTAATTTAGAGATAACTCTGATTTTAACTCTATATGGACTTGTATGTGGGTGCATCACACAAGCTAAGACCTATTCACTGAGATGTATCTTGGAACCCACAAGAGCCGGGGAAAAAGTTAGCTTGAAAGAAAATAGGCTATGGTTAAGTCAGTGTCTGATCAACAACTCCAAATTCATTATTTACTTATGTCAAAAGCACAAATTTGGTAAGGGGGATGACCAGAAAGGGAGATATTTTAAAACTATATACTTCAGTGAATCCTCTCATGAATTTATTATCTCCCTTCTCAAACATGTGAACAACTTTAACTTGCAGGTATAGCATCAGACACAAGCAAAGCTCCTCCAGCAACTTACACAGTAGTTGGGGAAAGTTTCTCAAACACCACAAGCAACAACTCTGTGCTGTGTCACAATGAAGGCACCTCCACACCAGCAACAGTTTCAACAAAACCCATCTTTGTGGTGGTGGATTCTGAGAGACTGCAGTTAGAATCAGGAGAGATGAGTGAGTTCTGTTAACTGTTCTGTCAACATTTAGTTAAACATTTGTCAGCCTTGCAGGGTTAGTAGGCTTTCACCTACTGAGAAAAGAAAAAAGCCCATAGAATAGAGAGGCAGGGAGTTTTTCCTCTCTGATGCAGTAGAAAAGTTTTGGGCCTATTTCAAAGTAAATAACTGATTCATTCACTCACAAAGAAGCCATTTTATTTTCCTAATTCAAAATAACCTCTTTTCTACCTTGCCTTTCAATACCATCATCTTTAGATGCATTTAGGCTAATGTTTCTCCAACAGTTTCAACATTTTAGAGCTGTATTGCACAGCTCAACAAAAATGAAAGGAATGTATGTTAGTTCTAAAAATGTATTTAACAGCAGATGATGAACTAAACTTTAACCATTGGTTTTCAGAGACTTGAAAAGTCTATGACTGGATTTTGCTATAGTGCACTGAAAAATTGCAGACAAATAATAATGAATAGATGCTTGTTAGCATATGGAGAAACAGCTAAATTCTTGACCATACTTCACATTTAAGGACTTGACATTTTATAAATAAAGAATTATTTAGCAACATTCCTGACTTCTTTTTAGTTGGCACCAGCTGTTTGAGGAATCAAGAGATGGCCTACAAAAAATTGGACATCACGTATGTGGTTTTACCTATCAGAAAACCATTGGTTCCCTTTACCTTATGTAAAGTGTTTAAGTGATCTGTATTCTGTTGCTGTGTTTACATTCAAAACTAAAGAGATGGACTACACCAAATGCAGACAGTAAATGAGGAGCCTCTAAATGTAGCAACCAGTTATACAGATCTTTCTAGCTTTTATTTTCTAGTTACCTTTGAGTTTCTGTCAAAATAAAGTCAAAATTTATTTTAATTGTCTTCTTTTATTTTTTTCAGTTCAACAGTTGCTACGACTTTTTGAGGCACAGAGTAAACAAATACAGTAAAAACTTACTTGGCTGTTGAGCTGAAACTGATATTTTGACTGTTCATTGATGAAATTGTTTGTTACCATGTTGTATTATTTTATGTAAAGACAGATTGTTTGCTAAAGAATTTGGTTCATTATGTTACTTTTTTTTTAGTATGTATGTATGATTACAGAAGCTGAATGTTTTTTCTGTATTTTGTAAACATGCAGTAGTAATCTGAACATGTTTGTATAATCTGAAGTTTTACTTCTCTTTGTTGTTGACCTGTATAGTGTGTTTTTCCCTAGAATGTTTTTGTTCATTCTGGAGTTTGGTTTATAAACCTTTTGGCTTGCGCTACAGCATTATTTATGTATACATCATCATGTATCTATTTATAGCACAAGTAAAATACTCTAGTTTTTAACTAAACTGGAAAATTTAGCATTTTTTAAGCCAAATAAAAGAATAGCTTTTTCAGGCTACATTAGAATGTTTTAAAAGGTTACACTTTGTTTTCACATTCTCTTCAGAGCTTTTTTGAGTATTGCTGTTTTTGCTTGGGAAAATAATTTTTAAAAACTTTTTTTGTCTTTCTTTTGATGAGCCTGACAGGTATTCATAATTTGCTGCACATTTAAAGCACATTACGATAAAATAAATGGCTTGAAAAATCTCAACAAGTATAAAATATTAAGTTGGGAAAAGTATATATTATGTATAATAAACCAGGAAACAAGTTGTGATGGCTTGCCCCAGGCCAAGTATTAATTGTTTTATTTGTTCCTGTTAGTTTAACCTTTACAGTAGTAGTTTTTACACAACTTTGTGATTGATGTGGAACATTCACATACATATTTTTAACAGCATTTGCTATTCAGTTGTTGCTTCTTTTTTAATTAATTTCAAGTGTACATTGTATGGAGGTTTTTATGTTGACGATGAATTCGTTGCCCACATTAGTGTTGACAAGATAATTCCAAATTTTACCTCAAATGTATTATCCTAACTTATTTTATGCTTTTCTATTTTGAAACTATCATTATTTAAAAAATCCATCATTCAGTGAAACTTAAGTTGTTTAAAGACAATTTATTATTCACATTTGTTAATCAAGTTGTTAATTTTAACTGAAAGGTGATTACAGATTATGAGTCGTACTAAATAAATTAAATTTTAAGAAAATTTCTTTAAAATTGTATGCTTTTTGAGGGAGGGAAAACTAATTGCTCTGCTAACTATTGTCTGAGAGAAGATCATATCTTAAATATTGCTCTCTCTCTCTTCCCCTCTCTCTCTCTCTCTAAATCATTTTCTTTAACTGAGTCCATTATCAAAAAATTTTGCCTTCTTAATGTATTGAGTATAAATTTTAAAAGCTTTGGGGTAAAGTGCACAACCTGTCATGTTTTAAATTTTGTTCAAATTATAGACAAAGATTACTTGTTGGCTGAAATTCATTATTTTCATACATTTTTTTAATGTCAAAATATATAGTAGTAAAATCAGCTGAGTCAAGAAATGTTTAAATTATAATTCTATTGCAATGTATCTTAATTTATTAATATAATTAAGGTTTTAAATATTCAGTTCTATTAAAATTTATTTTAAAAGTATGTTGACTCCACTTTGAGCAATGGATTTAATTAATAGTATTTTTTAAACTTAACTTTCAAGGGAAAATAGATTTTTTTTTTATAGACAACTTTGTTGCCACTTTAATTTTTTCACATGGCCTTTTTTTTTTGGTCAAATTTGCTTTACCTATTTGAGTAACGATTTTTACTGCATATTTCCTAGCTAATTGTTAGAAATAACTGTCTTAAATAGAATGTTTTAAAATCGAAAACATAATCAAGATTTCTATTTGTTTTGTTTTTTTATTTATGCCATTTTTCATTTTTTAACAAGATGCACCCTAAATGAATGGTGCTTGCTTATTATGTTTTTTAATGGTTATGTTATTAGCCTAGATTTAACTTTTTCAAATCAATATTTACAACAATTCTATTGCCCTAATTTTTACAATAGTTTTAGTTCTTACTGTTATTGAAAATATTTTTTAAAGCTGATTTTTAGTAAAAGGAACTTTTTCTTTTATTTTCAACTCTCTATCCCGTTTAAGTACTGCAGCAATAAGCTATTCTGTTCAGCTTTCCATTTAGTTTATTTTTTCATTATTCTGAAAGTAGTGACTCTTCTTTTAACCTCTCAGAGTTGGTCATGAAGTTTTAATTCTGTTCGGTCATTGGCTTGTCTCACTCCTACTGTTGAAATTGTATGTATAAACCAATTTGAGGAAAAGCTGTTGATTTTTTTAAAATTGTGCAATAAGCGTATTACAAAATCAATCGACTTAAAATTATGTAAATAATTTTCAACTAAATATATGTACATATAGATCTAGATACAGAAATGTAGTTAATTATATTTTCATTTTATTGTAACATTTTCCCGAAAATCCCAAACACTGTTAAAAAATTTCCCATCACTCACTTAAAAATAATTTATTTTCTGAATACATTGTTACCTTTAAATGTTAAGATATTTAAACAGATCTGTAGAGGTATTATTTTTATTTCTTTGCTGTATTGTTTGCACATTTTTGTTTGTTCAGGGTTAAGATACACCCCTAGCCTAAGTGTAATGATAGTATCTATTGTTGTATATATATATATTTTACAAAATTATGTAATAATTAACTAACACCATTAGGCAAAGGTGTTTCTAGTATTTAAATATTTAAATGTGTATCCACTAATTAGTAAAGTCCATTCAACTTGTAAATACAATTGCTTATACTCATTATACAGTTAATATATTATAACATATTTGAAGTTGAATGATGTGAAATCAAATTGTTAATTTTTGAAACTTGTTTACAAATACATTTAATAGCTGCATAGTTAACCCATCTTTTCACTATTTACTATTAGGAATCAAAACTACAAGTTCACTAAATATGAAATACATAGATATTATTCTTTTTAACAAGTAAACATTTGAAGTATTATACAGATTTCTAGCCCATTTAAATGAAATTTTGGTTATGAATATTAGTTTTGATACATACACTTAAGATAACTAAAGTCTCATCATTTTCCTAGCAAAGCAAAAGTTGCTGAGAGCATTATAAAAAAAATTTTTCAATGAATCGAGAATTTCAATTGTTATAAAATTGCAGTTGTACTGGTTATTTTATTTAAAATGTTTTCCTTCAGATCATAAAAGCATTTAGTAAATCAAGGCCAGTAATCATCTACTATCATTTTCAATAGGGAAGGCAATTTTTGTTTATGTAGAAAGTTGTTTTTTGTTTCTTTTTGAGATGGGACCAATTCAGCATGATGTAAGGTTTATTTTGTCTTGACAATGTCAGAATTAGAAATTCCAGTATTATCAGAAACTATTGAAACATTGTAATGATCTACTTGATTTCTCTCACTGAAATGTCTTCAAACATTAATTGTTAAAGCTCACTAGCATTGTAAATACATTTCATGTTCTGAAATATGGTAAAAGTTATTTATTATGTTTGAAATTTTATATAAGTAAATGTTAAATGTCTTTTAAAAATCTTACACAGTTAACCAAAGCCATATAAAAAGGTTAGCATTTACCTCTCTATAACTTCATGAACAAATAGTGTTACCCATTTGGCCTTGATATTTTTAAGAAGAAATTTAATGTGCTTTGTGACAGGTAAACAACTAATAACTAGAATAAGATATAATAACTACAACTTTTGTGGCATAAATATATGCACCATCACTTGAACAAATGATTTGATAAACTCATTTTAAAAAAACAAGCATTCAGTTATTTCCCTATTTATTATATAACAATTATTTTACATCATTCAATTAAAAACATTTTGTTTTGTGTATTGGTTGGTTCATTTTTCAAAATCAGCTTTGTGAATGTTTTTCTCTGTACATGTTCCAATCAATGTTTGATACAAAAAAAAAAACAAAATAAAGCATTCAACTTCACATTTTCTATTAAACTGCTTTCATTTAATACATTTCTGTGTGGAGATTGTCTTGTTGAGCTGAAAAAAAATGTGTAATGTGACTTGAACCACAACCCTCCAGAATAGTATGCTTTATTTACACTGGATTGCTACAGAGTGCATGATCATTAAAAAGTAGGAGAAACTGAAAAAAAGTAGATAATCAAGAAAGCAGAGTAATAAGCCTGCATAAGAATTTCATTTGACTTTACTTTTGCTATAGTGGAAAAGTAGAATCCATATGGAATACTTACAATAATATAGTTTACTTCTAAGGGGAATTAACTTCTTCAAGCAATACAGAAATAAGTTGAAGTATTGTTTGCGTTACCTCCCCTGATAACTTTAGTTATTAATTTTGTCACCTGTGTAGCTGTTTCTCGACTACATGGTGATGTAGTCTCGTAGAGTAGCCTCATTCTTATTGCATTTTTTTTTACAAGCTTTTTTTAACTTGCTTCCTCGTCCAGGCGACGTCATAGATCGAAACGCTTGAGCATAATTTCGGGCACTTCTAACTGACAGATTCGTTTTAAAGTTGGCACGTGGGTGAAGACATGAAGACAGTGCAATCTGACATTAAATTTGACTTAATTAATTGTATGCCTAATTAGTTTTTTATGAATTGATTAAAATGTTGTCCAAATTAGTAGGCAGTCTTATCTAGCTATTCCGCACTATTATACGCGTGTTATTATATTCATTAGGTGCAGAATGATTTTTAGTCATGCAACTCTATTGTGAATTTTTTTAAAAATTTAAGTACTAAAAAAATTAATTAAAAAAACGTTTTAATAACAAGCTTTATTTAATAAAATAAAAAGGAGAAAATAAATGATTTTCTTTAAATATATAATAATACACTAGTATTTAAATAACTATAAAGAAAAGCGTAGGTCTCTTCTTAAATAAAGTAGTGGGCGGGGAGGGGGAGGGGGGCTACTATATACCGCACTATTATAGAGGGTGCGCGATAGTTTTAGTCATTTCAACTATCTATGGTATTCAAAATTTTACATATATTTAAAGAAGATTATTATGTTCCTCTTTTAGTGCATTTCTACACTCATAAAAGCTTGGTGTTAAAACGGTTTTTAAATGCATTTTTACAAGATTTTATTTAGCTCGCTCCCTTTGTTGAGCTTCGTAAGTCATCGATCGAAACTGCCGAGCGAAATTTTGACCACTTCTATATGACCAATGTCTTTGAAACTTGGCACGTGGGTCAAGACCCGATGCCAATGCAACCTGACATAAAATTTGACTTAATTTTAAAGAATTAATTAATATAGGCCTGGGCCCTAGGCTTATATTTTCTGTATCAAGAGAAAAAGTGTATAATTTAAGTAACGCCCATTTTAGAAAATGCATTTATTTACCTACAACTAATGCCACTTAGCTGAAATATTAAAATAACACTCATTCTAGAGGAAAATATTAATTCAAATATAAAGTTTTGAATACGGAATACTAATAAAATACTACCTTGATTTGATTATAATAATTAATGGTGACGAAGTTTTTGTAAATTATTACTCCCGTGACCTCTCATGACGTCACATGTACAGTTCACTACAAGTATCAACACTCCAGCTACACAGACGGCAGTGAAAGAGAAACTTGAAACTTAACTTGAAACAGATCTAGATCTAGATCTAGATCTACAAGTCATGTCGTACAATATTTTTATATATTCTCGTTGTGCCTTTCCAGTATTGACTTAATTTATTCTACAATGAATGCGCTTACTAATATATCGTTGGTGGAAGCTAAAATGAATACGGATAAAATATTTAGAAAGGTAAGTTGAACGAATTGATACGATTTGGTTAAACTCCATTTTATTTTAGCGTATTTTATTCTCCGCTGCTTGTTTACCTCCAGTTGAGCGTATTTTATTATAATAACCAAAACACACCATAACATTAGAAAAACACGATTTATTTATTTGTATTGTATTTTTGTTTTAACAAATGAATAAAAAAAAACAAAGAGACTGACTTTGTTTTAGATTTAATTTTGATAAATTAGTATTTTACAGTAGGCCTAGATCTATTAAAATTAAATTTACTTTTGTCAAAACTTGAGAAAAATCCAAATTTAGATTATTGAATGATATGAATGTGCTATGTTCGTGTGTCAGAATTTCCATGGCAATGGGTGAAGTACGTAAACGTAACTCACAATTGCAAGACGGTTAAGTTTGTATTGTTACAAGTATCTCCCAGGCATGATATAAATAAACATTTATGAACTTACAATGACCCCCAAGACTGAGGCCAACACAATTTCAAACAGCTATTGCCCGAGCTTTGACGTATGCTGATAATAAATTAAAGTCTATATGTGAACTCACTGTGAACGATCACATATTTAATTCGAACAGTTCTAATGCTTTTTTTTTTACCTTTTCTAATTAAAAACCACATTCATAAAAATAAAAGTAGATCTAGTGTTTTCCTAACGTTTTTGTGTGTTTCGGTTGTGTTTATAATAAAATACGCTCAACTGGAGGTGAACGTGAAGCGGGGAATAAATACGCTAAAATGGAGTTTTACCCGATATTTTTATTATTTATTTTCACAGAATTCAAAATAACAGTGTGAGTGACATTCTAAGATCTCAATCTAGATAGATCTAGACTCTATAGTCTATATCTATTATTTTTCCGCCTCAGACTCTAGACTTTAGTTTAGTCCAGATCTAGATCTAGCTAGATTTATATCTAGAGTCTAGATCTAGAAATCTAGGGTAATCTATCGTAATTTAAGAAGGTGCATTGAATCGGCCGAGGTTAGTAATGTGAGAAAAAGTTGCCTGGTTGTTATGACTTTAATTTATTGCAAGAAGTAGGCTTATATTGTGATATATTTGCGTCAAATATAATAGATAACTGAATAATAAATCAAATGTAATGGCTAAATAATAAATATATTAATATTATAAATATGGGCCTTGGCCTAGGCAAGAAATTAACTTTAAACAGCAGTGTTTGCTAGGAAGATATATAAACAGCTCTCATCTGTAAATTAGAGTCGTTTCCCCGGAATCTCTAACCTATAATTTTACCCAAAAAAATTAAACAAGATGGCTGTTAAAGTAAAAGAGCTTTGTTGCATCTGATCAAAACATCCCTAGTCTCTATTTATTACTGAAAAGTTTTAATATAATTATTTAATATTTAAAAACAGGTAGGCCTACGAGAAAGAAACATTTTTGTAACTTTCAAAACATAAATCGGGAGAATATTTTCACCAGTTTCAGATAATGGAATCTTCTTTTAAAAAGGGGTGTTAGGTTGCTGGTAGTTAACTAACTAAATACTTTATACACATATGGCTGAGTTGGCTGGGAAATGTCAATGCTGACCCTAACCCCAACCCTGGTCCTACCATACGCCTAACCCTAATTTCAAATCATAAAATTAGTCCAGATTACAATACAAAACTACTAACAACCCAACACACCTATTTTATGGAAGAGTCTATTATCGGACAATGGTATCTATAATCATCCCATAAATCTTCCAAAAAACGTGAAATAATTACTAAAATTTAATGAGGCCCCTTCTTTTCACATAACTAGCCTAGGCCGATTTAACGCACCTAAAAAGATAATTACCAAATCTAGATTAGATCAGATTGTCTAGTCTAAACTTCTAGTGAAGATCTAGATTTAGAGTAGAATCATAGATCTATAGGGGCCTATCTACCTGGAAAATCTATAGCCCAGCTATCTTAGAATCTAGATCTATTTCTAAACTCTAACTAATCTACTCTACTACATTCTAGATCTAGTACTAGAGAATAGATCTAGATTTATCTAGACTCTAGTCTATTCTAGTCTAGATCTCGATTCCAGTTCTAGATGCTATACTCTCTAGAATTAGAATACGATCTATTCTTTTAGTATTCTTAGACTAATTCTAGACTAATTGAGATTTAGAGGATTTTACTATTTTAGAGTGCCTAGCTGCCTTCGGGGGGGGGGGGGGGGGGGGGGGGGGGGGGGGGGTAAGCAAAGCCCCCCCTGAAGAGATGCCTGGAAGAAACTCTGGGTATAGGCCTATAAAATACATTTTTTAAAAATCTGGTGTGATGTTATTGAAATTTAAAATAAATAATAATAGGCATATATAAACCTGACTGTTATTTTTGACTTACTCGATATTGAATGTATTTGATGTTTTATTTATTATTTTCGGTAACTAAACACACTTTGGATATTGTCCAGATAATCCTTGCCCTTGCCCATAAGTTAACCCGCCACCCAAAAAGATTATAATAAAGACGATATAAAACTTGTACATTTAGTTTTTAGCCCTAACCCTAAAGGCGGATGAGGCATAAAACTTGTACTTTTAGTTTTTAACCATAACCCTAAAGGCGGATAACGCATTGTTTTTAAAGCGTGTCTAAATATCAGACATAGTTCAATGTTGTGCGGATGCATTAAATTGGAGCTGGAAAAAAGTCTCACATCGTAACTTTTTGCCAGTGCACTATTTGCATTAATAGCGGGGCTTATCTGGACAAGATCCTTCAATTTTTTAAAAAAAGGTAAAAACAATTTGGTTATTTATATCACACAAATTGTAAACAAAAATGGCTGAACCAGGCTGATCACTGAGTTCCTATACAGCCAATCAATGTTTAACTTACAAATGTCAAGTTATAACTTAGGCTTGGTCAAAATAAAATGTAGTCACTTGAAGTTATTTTCAAGTTCTCTGGATTTGCAACTTTTATTACATTGATTCTATAAATATTGAATTTCTGAATTATTTTCAGGCTTAATTCTTTAAAATATTTGTAAACAATTTTACTGCCTCTTTGATGGCAAAATGTAAAACAAAATACATTTTTTTAATCTGTTAACAATAATGGTCGAACCCAACTCGTCTAACTAGGCAGCTTCCATTTTAGATGTAGATGACACTAGTAAGGGCAGCTCTCCCACCTGTCAACACTCTGTTACTTGTTGATGTGTGAACATATGTTTTGGTTGGAGGACTAAGTTTTCATTTTATTGTGATTGTGGTTTTATTGTGATTGTGGTTTAAATAAATGCAATGGTTAGTGCTTAGTTTTTCACAACTCTAGACTAGCTATATAATCGTATGTGGGTAATGTTTTTCTAAGCCTTTTCTTTTTTTTTTATTTGGTATCATTAATTCAGTTGAAAGCAAGTTATAATAGATTTAAAAAGTACTTTAGGTAACTGACATTCACACAATATTCGTCATTGTGAAAACATAATTTTTTGTTCGTTTCAAGTTGGAAAAAATCCCTTTTTAAATAATTGAAATGAATGTATTCTTTATCTTGAAAGTATAAAAATCATAACCACTCCTAAGAATCTCCCTTTGTATCCATATAATAATGTCCCAAGGTTCACTCTGTGTGTTTGAATGGTAAATCTGTGAATAGTGTTACCATTCTACATTACAATGTAGCATGTCCATTTGTTATAATTTAACTGCCAGAACTAATACTGTCCTGATTTAATTATGTTCACACCAGTTACTTTCACCTTTATGGACTCATCTGGTGTATTTTATTTATAGCTGCAAGCATAAATAATTGACAAGTTTAGACTTTGTTCAATGTAGCCTACTTGTTTATATAGACAGTTACATTCCAGGCATTCCTGGAACACCCTTTCTAACTATTGAGACTAAGGTACTGATTTGTATGTTTGCTTCATTCTCTTCCATATGCTCAATAGTTTGTGTATATCTTGTTGAACTTGACAGTAGTTGTAAGAAGGTTTTGCCCAACAGAAGATAAACAACTGGCTCCAGTACTAGATGTATCTAATGTATTATGTTAAAATGTAATTTAACCCCGGATTTGGTGTCCAGTAACTAGAGTGGCTTTCCTAACCATTTTCTGTGCCAACACAACTGAAACATTGTTTGAATTCAGATGACAGTACAAGGCAAATGCTAGGGCCATACTATAATATATTTAGAAGCTAGTCAGATAGCAAGGGAACAAAGCATTCTTTCATAGTAGATCCCCGTTGGCGTTTGATAAATTAGGGCTAGGTTTTTTTCAAAGATAAGTGATTTTTTAAAATTCTTTCTATGGTTGCATTCCAGGATATGTTATTGCGTATGTTCACTTACAATAAAAACGGGCTTGTTCGTTTTTCACTGTGCGTGGTCACATTCCATTAAAAGGAGCTTAACGCAAGAAATAACGCAGTAGCCTAGAAAAGTGGTATACAGAAGTATGGCGTGGTTGTGATTGCATCTTTCGCAAATGACACGCATGCGTACACCCACACAGATAAAGCTATTGTCTGCCTGTAAAAAAAAAATATTTGTTTAACCCTTACAAAAAACACAGCAGTGTAAATATATGACTCACGATAATGTTGTGTGATATGATAACTTGCGTAAACACTTTAGGCTTAGGGTACGTCGTAGCTAGCCTATTTTTTCACATGGCTTCAATTGTTTAAGTCGCTATACCATGAAAGAATCATCTTTAGGCCTAGCGATCCTTTGGGCAGATAAGTAGAGTTCATATGAAGGGGAGGTGTGGTCAACACCCATGTATCTTCCAGGTTTTCTTCTCCGTGGGGGGGGGGGGGGGGGACTGTTAAAAGCATATTTTCTATATAAATTCCATTTATATTGTATGACATTAGTCAAGAGTGAGCCGGTGGGGCAACTAGAGTTTCTTCCAGGCATCTCTTCGGGGGGGCGAAGCCCCCCCGAAAAATTTTTACCGCTCCCCCGAACGAAATGAAATTTATATAATTTATATAGAAAATATATACTTTTAACAGTGT